GCGACGCCCCCCGGGAGACCCCGACACGGGGCAGGCGGTGCGGGGGGGCTGGTTCTCCCCGCGGCACGCTCGGCACCAAAAGGTGGGAGCAGCCCCGATCGCTCCAGGGAGAGGGGGGAGCTGCTCCCTCGCCGCGCTCCGGACGGGGCACTAGGCAGCCCCGTCCCGCCTCCCCAATGCACAAAATAAAATGTGAACTGTGGCGGTGACAGCGCCGAATGAGGGGGGGAAGGGGGCAGCCCCAATTTCTCTCGAGCTACATGTTGCTTTGGGACAGCGAGGGTTGGAGTGCGGGGGTGCAGATGTACTTTTAAGTGCACACCGCCATGCACCCCCCGGGGCCGGGGGGGCGGCAGGGGCGCGGGCAGCACTTACTGAAGAAGATGTACTCGGTGTAGCTGCTCCAGATCTTGTCGTCCCTGTACTGGTTGATGAAGGCGGCGGTGCCGGTGGAGTTGCAAGCCACCATGTGGAAGCCCGCCTCGGAGAGCCGGTCGAAGGCTTGCTCCAGGTAGGTGAATTTGAGGTAGAAGCGGGAGGTGTACTTCTCGGGGGGGCGGTCGGGGTCGCGGCTCTCGTTGAGGGTCTCGCCGAAGACCTCCTTGGCCAGGGCGATCCTGCCGCACACCATGATGCGGGCGACGCGGCGGAACTTGGCGTCCGCCTGGTTGTCCCGCACCGTGGTGTAGGAGCCGCGGTAGCCCACGGTGAGGAAGCCCGAGCGCTTGTCCAGCGCCGCCCGCTGCAGCCGGTCGCTGCTGCCCTGCGAGTTGCTGTCCTCCAGGTCGCTCTGGCAGCCCTCGTCGTTGAGCGAGCTCTGCTTGGTGACCTTGGGCGAGAGCAGCTTCACCAGGTCGCCCAGCTGGAAGTACTCGGCCTCCCGCAGGAGCCGCTCCTTCTCGGGGAAGTGCTCGGGCAGCGCCAGCTGCTTGTCCCGCAGGTAATCCAGCACGTACCTGAAGAGGAAGCCGTCGCGGTCGATGAAGAAGCGCGCCCGGCTGTCCCTGGGCAGCTGGCGGGCCGCCGCCGGGCCGCCCCGGCAGGGGGAGAACATGGTGGCCAGCGTGCTGTCCGGGACGCTGAGCAGCGTGGAGTGCCTCGTCACGTACACCTGGCCCCCCACGTTCAGCTCCACCACCTCGGGGAACGGCGAGCCCGACGGCCCCGACACCATGTCGCTGATGGGCAGGATGCTGCCGCCCGCCTCCTTCAAAGCCATGGCTGCGAGCGGGCGGCCGCGAAGGAGGGTCTCCCTCCTAAAAAAGGCGG